CACAGGAGGGCCGTGTGGTGGCAGTCGCCGGCACTGCACTGGAAATTCCACAGGAGGGCCGTGTGGTGGCTGTCCCCAGCACTGCAATGGAAATTCCACAGTAGGGCCGTGTGGTGGCAGTCGCCGGCACTGCACTGGAAATTCCACAGGAGCCGTGTGGTGGCAGTCGCCGGCACTGCACTAGAAATTCCACAGGAGGGCCGTGTGGTGGCAGTGACCGGGACTTTTTAGAATAAGTGTCTGATTGTTTGTGAGCTCGTGGTTTTTGTGTGCATTTGATTTAAGGTGACCAATTGATTTGTGTGTGCCGTTGATGGACAGGAGAGGGCGAGCGGTTGAATGAGAGAGCTGGTAGTTTCGTGGCATCTGTGGTCCATGACAAAATTGGTGAGCCTGGCCAAGCGCATTTCTTCAGGCCGGGCGCTGCACGTAAAAAAGATTCTTAAATGATTGGGGAAGGCACGTGGACATTATGCGTGCTGATTAGGAGCGTTTAAGAGAATGGCTTAGGATTGCTTGGCTGGTTGTGCGTGTGTTTGTGTTAAAATTTCAGTGGTTGATTCTTGAGAATCAGGGGAAGGTGTAGTGTGAGGGTTGGGTTTTGGAGGCTGTCGCCTCGGCGCCGCGGGGAGCGTCGGCCGGCCGCCGTCTGCCCCGTCCCCTCCGGTGTGGACGGAGGGCACATCTGGTGTCGGAGCGGTCCCGGCGGCCGTTCGTCCCAGTTTCGGGGCCATGCCGGCGCGCCGGATAGGGAAGAGGGGGAGTCGTGTCCGAGCCATGGGACCGCACGGTGGTGTGTGAGGGTGAGCGAGAAATACAAAGCAATTTGGCAAAGACTACCTTTTACAAAAGCGCCATTTCCGACAAATACGATTAAGCGTAATGGAATGGCACGAATAGGGGCAGGGCTGGGAACACTTTAAGTCTGATATTTTAGTACTGATTGGATCAAATTATTTTGTGACCTGACATGACCTATTGGTATTGGTAGGTGTAGGGGTAGTGGTAGTGGTAGTGGTAGTGGTAGTGGTAGGGGTAGGGGTAGGGGTAGGGGTAGGGGTAGGTGTAGTGGTAGGGGTAGTAGGGGTAGGGGTAGTAGTAGGGGTAGTGGTAGGGGTAGGAGTATGGGTAGTAGTAGTGGTAGGGTAGGGGTAGGGGTAGTGGTAGATGTAGTGGTAGGGGTAGGGGTAAGGGTAGGAGTATGGGTAGTAGTAGTGGTAGGGGTAGGGGTAGGGGTAGTGGTAGTGGTAGATGTAGTGGTAGGGGTAGGGGTAGGGGTAGGGGTAGTGGTAGGGGTAGGGGTAGTGGTAGGGGTAGGGGTAGGAGTAGGAGTAGATGTAGTGGTAGGGGTAGTGGTAGGGGTAGTGGTAGGGGTAGGGGTAGTGGTAGGGGTAGGGGCAGTGGTGGAGACAAAAGTAGAACAGCGGCCCAGGCTGATCCCATCGGACGAGAGGTGACCTATGTGACCTGGCCTGACCCAAAGTGACCGGGGCTGACCCCTTTGACCCGTCTTGACCCCGTATCAGCCAAATTTCATCCAACAAAGCCCTCAGAACAGTTCTTTTTTAATTCTCTTCACATTTCCGTCCATATCTATGCTTCTAGACGACACATCGGCTTGAAACGAACACCATTCGACAGCAAATTGGCTGGTGCCGCAATTTTTTCCTACCACGCAGCAAAGCAAGTGGCGCAGCCGCTTGTCTATATTACTATTTGAGGAGGGCGTAGTTTCTGTCTATTACGAAGGTCGCGACATGGTGCTACGTAGCGCGGGTTACAGATCACACCGTTGCACCTACCGCGCTGAAATTTGCGCAAGTTATAGAACAGGGATGGACAACGTGCCTTTGAGCGGTCTCGGCTCGATCGGATCGATAGCGAGCGCGTGGCGCGTGCCCAAAAAGTGCAAATTCGCGTCATAGACTTTACATGTATAAATCGGCTGGCAAAAACGGGCGAAAATGGCTAAATTTGCCCGACACGGGTCCGTTCCCCGTGCAATATCTCGGTAGCCGTGCGCCCGATCGGCACGGGGAAAACAGCATCGTGTAGAGAATCGAACGGGCAATCGAATAGTGTGCGGTGCAGGGGTTGGCACGCGCCACGTGCACCGGGGAGGACACTTTCTATTGAAAAATGGACGTTTTGGACGGATTTTGGAATTTATATTAATTTCAGGTGATCGTCAGACGGAATGAGTTGAAACAGCGCCTATTAGCAATAAAAATGTACCGTCTCTCATGGAAAAATTGTGAAAAGCTAATTGATCAAAAACAATGTGGAAAAAATCGCTGAATTAACCCTCGCCCGTAAACGGCGATCTGCCACCTTCGCCCATGCAGGGGGGGGGGGTTGGTGCGACCCCCCCTTGGCGTTTGAAAACGGAGCGTCGTAGAGCTTAGCGGAAAAGACCATCGGATTGCTCTCGCCGAGATCTCGCGATTGGTGGTATATTTTTTGGTCCTAGGTCAACATTTGACCTACTTTTGACCGGTCAAAGGTCAAATTTTCGGAAAAATAGATTTTTTCAACTTTCCGCGGCGATTGCGGCAAAACGGTGGGCGATATCGACTTGAAACCTTCACTATCGTGTTCCTTGATCAATTCTCTATCGTTTGGTATGTATTTCGTTTCCCTAGCTCTAAAAATGGCGCGTTGGGAGCGCCGGAAGTCGGCAAGGTCACAGTCGGCGGCAGAAATTCGAAAAATCAAAATTTAAATTTTTGAAATCTGATTGTATTTTTGGATTTGGGAGGTCCATTTGCTCCCTCTAGAAGCTAATATTGCTGCATATTCCCATTGAGGTGACAAGAATTAGCAAAATAGTGGTTCGGGCGCTTTTCAAAAATAGTACCGGACGCTGTTCCTCTTGTGACGTCATAGCTCCGTGACCTGACCTGACCCGGTCAAGTTTCTTATACCATATGATAGCCAATACTTGCCCCAACATGCATGGGAAGTTTCATCACGATCCATCAACCGATGTCCGTACCACCGGCAGGAAACCTCGGGCGTTGGCACTCAGTTTGTGAAAATCCGGCCGGAGGCTGTTCCCTTTGTGACGTCATAACTCCGTGACCTGACATGACCCGGTCAAATTTTTTTTATCAAAAGATGCGCAAGGTTTGCCCCATAAGGTACCCAAAATTTGGCGGCGCTGCGCGCCGCCGTTTTTACACTATTTCCGAAAAACCTCAGGGGGGGGGTTGCACCAACCCCCCCCCTACATGGGCGAGGGTTAAATGGTATTTGTCCAAAATGTGCCACTAAATAATTACACGGATTTTGCTGCTTAACCTGATACGCTTGACAATTGAAAATGCTATCATTAGAAAGAGCATTCAATTCTCTCCAAGATCCAATCATCACGTTTGCATGACAAGCAACAGTATTCTTAAAAATATAAATGTTTTAAACCTCTGCAAAGCGATTTTTAGCGAAAAATATCTACGCCTTTCATTTGTCTGAAAACTACGCACCTCAATTATAAAGCACATTTGGCAGATTCTGAAGTGGAAAGCATGCTTATCAGACACGGGCACCTCGATGCGGTGGATATTTTTCCACAAACCAAAACGTTTAGCCGTCAAAAAGCAATCGACCGAAATGGATAGATAACCCAACCGACACAAGAACAACCGAACACCCGCCGATCGAAAATATCCCTTTTCGCGTTGCGGAGCACGCGGGTCACCCTAGTCTATCTTACTATTTGAGGTGACGTAGTTTCTGTCTATTACGAAGGTCGCGACATGGTGCTACGTAGCGCGGGTTACAGGTCACACCGTTGCACCTACCGCGCTGAAGTTTGCGCAACTCATAGAACAAGGATGGACAACGTGCCTTTGATGGGTCTCAGCTCGATCGGATCGATAGCGAGCGCGTGGCGCGTGCCCAAAAAGTGCAAATTCGCGTCATAGACTTTACATGTATTAATCGGCTGGCAAAAACGGGCGAAAACAGCCAAATTTGCCCGACACGGGTCCGGTCCCGGTGCAATATCTCGGTAACCGTGGGCCCGACCGGTACGGGGAAAACAGCATCGTGTAGAGAATCGAACGGGCTATCGAATGGTGTGCGGTGCAGGGGTTGGCACGCGCCACGTGCACCGGGGAGGACACTTTCTTTTGAAAAATGGACGTTTTGGACGGATTTTGGAATTTATATTAATTTCAGGTGATCGTCAGACGGAATGAGTTGAAACAGCGCCTTTTAGCAATAAAAATGTACCGTCTCTCATGGAAAAATTGTGAACAGCTTATTGATCAAAAACAATGTGGAAAAAATCGCTGAATTAAATGGTATTTGTCCATAATGTGCCACTAAAAAGTTACACGGGATTTGCTGCTTAACCTGATACGCTTGACAATTGAAAATGCTATCATTAGAAAGAGCATTCAATTCTCTCCAAGATCCAATCATCACGTTTGCATAACAAGCAACAGTATTCTTAAAAATATAAATGTTTCAAACCTCTGCAAAACGGTTTTTAGCGAAAATTATCTACGCCTTTCATTTGTCTTAAAACTACGCACCTCAATTATAAAACACATTTGACAGATTCTGAAGAAGAAAGCATGCTTATCAGACACGGGCACCTCGATGCGGTGGATATTTTTTCCACAAACCAAAACGTTTAGCCGTCAAAAAGCAATCGACCGAAATGGATAGCTAACCCAACCGACACAAGAAAACCAAACACACGCCGATCGTAAATGCCCCTTTTCGCGTTGCGGAGCACGCGGGCCACCCTAGTGGTACCTACTTGGTAGGCATCCAAGTACAATTTATGCAAAGGTGGAATAGCTGCTCAAATTAGTTTTGCATCTCTCTCTCTCTCTCTCTCTCTCTCTCTCTCTCTCTCTCTCTCTCTCTCTCTCTCTCTCTCTCTCTCTCTCTCTCTCTCTCTCTCTCTCTCTCTCTCTCTCTCTCTCTCTCCCTCCCTCTCTCCCTCCCTCCCTCCCTCCCTCAGCTTGACCACTCCCTCTCTTTCACAGAAGAATGGGTAAAGCGCGGCACCGCGGTCCGCCAGCGGCCGGCCCGGCCTCTGGCGCCGCCAACTCTGGGCCGTACCCGCGCCAGAAGCGCGCGCCGCCGGCCGGCGATGGCGGGAGCGGCGGCGTGGTGTCGCTGCTCGTGTGGCTGGCCGCTGGCGTTCTGCTGTCCGTGGGAGGCTATCTGGCCTACCAGGGATACATGGAGAGGAGGGTGAACACCCCACTGGCTGCCCCTAAGGTGTGTACGGTAGACGGGGGGCAGGGTAGAGGTGGGGGATGGCGGGATCGGGATGGGAGATAGAGTGTGGGGTTAGGGTGAAAGGGTTGGAGGCTCAGATCAGTGTTTGGGAGAAAGGTTGACAGGTTGTGCTGTATGTGTACTCGTAATGTTGACGTTAGCGAGTACGGCGTACCTCTACAAATGTAAAAAGAGACGAGATTGCTGGAAAATGGTTTCGAAGGGGAGGGATCACTACAAGTATAGACCGCAACCACCAGACCTCAGTTTTACCCGCCTGTCTGTGACACCCCACGTCTCTCCCCCGGCAGGCGGCCGACCCTCCGGCGGCCGACGACCGCTACTGGGGCTCATACCGGCCGGGCGCCTACTTTGGTCTGAAGGCGCGCCACCCACGCTCGCCAGTCACCGGCCTCATGTGGTTCACGCCGGCAATGTTCCAAGGCGGCGAGCTGCCCCTCAGGTCGGTATGAGGTCAGATCCGTTGGCCAGTCGTCGTGTTCCAAGCGATGGGCGCTATGTAAATTAAAGGTTTTGGGGTCCCTAAACACATAATTTAGAAGTCATCATTCAGTTCTCTGAAATCATCTCAGAGCACCACAAGCGACGCTTGTCGTCTTTGCCGCCTGTGTTCTCGTTGAATTCAATGACTCATAGACTGTAGATCCTGCGCATGCAGTGCAGGATTTAGCTCGTCTTCACCTGACACCTATCTGGCCGCCGTTCGCAGGCACTGGTGTGAGCAGGGTGACGGCCTAGACCGGTACGGCTGGCTACAGCACGACGGGCGTCACTTTGGCGTCCAGGAGCTGGTCGACAAACACATCCGGCTGGAGACGACGTTTGTGAAACGGCCGGGCGGGGAGCACGGAGGCGACTGGACGGCTCGCATCAAGGCCACGCCCAAGGTTTGTGGGACAGGGACCGATGAGGGCTGGTGCTGTGGCTGGTCTGAGTTGATGTGCAGGTATGTGGCGGATATAGCCGGGATGTTGACGAAGATTGATTATATTCTTGGTTGATGTGTTAGATCAAAATGTCGGCAGTTGTTGTGACGAAATGTTTCACGATGCAACTTGGCGTCTAGCCGCTGATCGTGAATATAATGTCTGTATTTTGTATACTTAGTCAGCTTCTGTCCCGTGTATTCTCGTGAGACGTTTAGAAATGCGGAGTTTTGCGGCTGTCACGTTATCGGTAGACTGTAGAGGCTTATCTAACGAATTGTGTTTGCTTTCTGCGAGCAAACGCTTTCTTATCGGTCAACATGAATAGAGTCACGTGTCTCTATTCTCACGGTAGTCCGGGTACTTACCTAATTTTCTTCACATATCTATAAGCTATGACACTGATGTTCACACATATGTATAGTTATTTATACATACACCTCAGCTGTCTGATATTCTCCGTCTTGTGCTGATCTTGCGCCCGTTCCCTCACCCTACAGACCGATGAGCTGAATGGTATCCAAGTATCACTACTCTACTACATCGCCCTGGACGACGAGGCCGGTCCCGAGGACGCTCTGGCGACCGACGCTGCCGGCGACACACTGCGCGCTGTACACGGCACCTCCGAGGCGCTCGGACCGTTCACCATGAGCTTCCACGTGTCCTCCGGCCGGCTGCAGCGGCAGTTCTACCTGGCTGCTCGCGCGCCCGGCCTCCACCAGCTCCGGGAGACGGCCGTGCGCGGATTCCGGCTCGTGCAGACTGCCGATCAGCGGTATATCGGACTGGTGGGGGAGATGTTTGGAGCTGGCGCCGAGCGCACGCCCAACTTTGTCGTGTTCCAGGCGGTGGCGGCGGCGCCGTTTGAGCTGGAGGTTAGGTTTGAGTCGGGGAGTGCCAGTGCCGAACGCCCTGCGCCGCTCGGTGGTCAGCTGTATGACCTGCTCCTGGCGAAACATCGCGAGGAGTTCGCGCGGACGTTCGAGCGGAAGTTCTCGCTGGCGCAGAAGGGATACAGTGCGGAGGAGTTGCGGTTCGCGCAGGCGGCGCTCAGCAACATGGTGGGCGGTATTGGTTACTTCTACGGCTCGTCGCTGGTACAGTCGCGCTATAACGCGGAACCCGTGCCGTACTGGCCCGCGTCGCTCTATACTGCCGTGCCGTCGCGAAGTTTCTTCCCGAGGGGCTTCCTGTGGGATGAGGGCTTCCACAATCTGCTTCTGTCACAGTGGGACATGGAGATATCCCGAGACATTGTGGCTCACTGGTTGGATCTGATGAACACAGAGGGATGGATCCCTCGTGAGCAGATCCTCGGATCAGAGGCACGCAGTAAAGTACCTTCTGAATTCGTGGTGCAGCGCAATTCGAACGCCAACCCGCCGACTCTGCTGCTGTCGCTAAATGCCATGGTTCGGCGTATGGGCTCCCATCCCACCGAGACCGATAAAGACTACTTGAGGCGACTGTGGCCGCGACTACGGACCTGGTACGCCTGGTTTAACGACACACAAACGGGAGAACTGGCTGGCTCGTATCGGTGGCGCGGCCGCGATCCGCGAGCGGTCAACGAACTCAACCCTAAGACGCTCACGTCTGGGCTGGATGACTTCCCGCGCGCGTCACACCCGAACGCGGACGAACGACACGTGGATCTGCGCTGCTGGATGGCGCTGGCATCGTCACTACTCGCCGACATCGGTGATGTCATCGACGAGCCTGCGCAGCAGTACCGACGCACGTTCGACTTTCTGGCAGACCCGGCTCGGTTGGACGCGCTTCACTGGAGCGAGCAGCTGGGAGCGTTCGCCGATTTCGGCCTACACACGGACTCTGTGCGACTGGTGCGGCCGCCGGCGCCGGCGCCCGACCGGCCGGGCCAGCGGCCGCCGCCGCCACCGCCGGGGCTGGTGCGGCGCGCCGACCAGGAGCCCGAGCTGCGCTTCGTCAACGCGCTCGGCTACGTGGGTCTGTTTCCCCTGCTGCTGCAGCTGCTGCCGGCCGACTCACCACGGCTGGGCAGGTTGCTGGATAACATGGAGGACCCGCGCGGTCTATGGACCGAGTTCGGGCTGCGCTCACTCGCCAAAACGGCGCCACTCTATAACCGAAAGAACACGGAGCATGACCCACCGTACTGGCGAGGTCCGATCTGGATCAACATCAACTTCCTAGCAGTGCGTGCGCTGCGGTACTACGGTGATACACCTGGGCCGCACCAGGAGCGTGCCAAACAAGTGTACGACAAACTGCGACACGCGCTCGTGAGGAACATTGTGAAAGAGTACAAGCGCACGGGGTATGTGTGGGAACAGTACAACGATAAGACGGGCTGGGGCCAGGGGTGTCGGCCGTTCACTGGCTGGTCCGCACTAGTCGTGCTAATCATGGCCGAGACGTACTAGTCCTGACAGGAGGGCTGTGGCGACGCGTGCAGAACTCATGGGCATTCTCCACTGCCTGCTGTGCATTCCCACTGTTATTTGTGAGACGTTGGGCTGTTTTGAGCGATGGGTCGGTGAACAATATATGGGATTCGAGGGACGAGACTTGGTTACTGCGGTTATTGGACTCGCTGGTTTTGATGTAAGGCAGACCAAGATAGGCACCACGATGCAGCATCGTGGTGCTAAACGTTTAACGAGTACAAAACAGTGCATTTATAAGTGTTGTTTGGTTGTCCCACACTCTCCAAATGCGTCGTTGGCTCGGTTTCCACTATGTCCATGGGGCCTTAAATGGAAATCAGCACAGACGACTCCTCTAATAGCTCTCGTTTGATAAGCGTTATGGACGCAGGCTCCTTGAGTTCTGCACAATTGTGAGAGGTTCATGACTCATCTTTCTCACCAAGGCGTATGATTATCAAAGCATGTATTACACAATCTTTGGAATAACATATTAGGGAGCCCGTGGACTCCCTGAGTAGCATCCACAGTCCGATGGCTGCAGCTGGACGACAGTTGTCATGGTTCATTTGTGGCTGATTCAAAGTCCCGCTTGAATCACTGAAAGCACTATCAGCATGGATCAAAACCCAGTCTCCCATTCCATCGGTGGGTCACCAATGTGTGGCATACGCCATCAATTAACAGCGATACAATTATTACATCGGACAGTATACAAAGGCACTGGTCACGAGCGCTTATTGCTCAGATTTTGATTAGATTCGATATCATTTGAGGCACTGGCACCGCGCGGGGGAGATACAAATTGAGCCGCGCATGCGAAACGAGTAAACAATGGTGTAGCAAAGTGGCCGCTGACACGAGGTTCGCCCGACGGACGTGGCTCGCTCCGGGACACCGCTGAGGTGGCTGGGGGAGGTGGTCGACCGCGCGGCGCCCCAGTCTGGCGCAGACGAGCCCTACTCCACCGCGTCCGCCTCCTTCAGGATCTCCCTGAAGCTGAACGGCGTGAAGAGGTAACCCTCGCCCTTGTAGAACTTGGACTGGAACTCCACCCTACCGAGCAGAAAGACAAGAGGAGCGTGTTAGAAATGAGTCAGGTAATTAACAGCAGAGTAAGAACGACGACAACATGCCTGAATCAAATCAACTTCAATGGCCTCCGAAAGAAATCCAAGCATATTCTTCTGTTTCTTATGGTGATTGGCGTTCATGCATTAGCTCGCTTCACAACTTACGACTTAGGACATTCTACACAAAATAAACGCATGGCACCACGTTAACATCCCCATTGCAGCGCATCAAATCGCTCACCAGTGCAGACGCAGCGTGTGCAGGAAGGCTGAGAGGCCCTCCATGACGATCAGGATGCTGACCGTCAGCGCCGCCCACATGGCGAAGATGGCAAACAGGATGACGCTGCCGTAGTACTCGGTGGTCAGCATGAAGCCGTTCACCAGGATCATGGTCCACAGCACCTCCGAAAGCTCTGTTGAGGGTCAGAGACGGAGTGGAACGGTCACAAAACTGTGGTGACTATCAGGACTCCATAGGATCGGACCGACAGGGCGCTAGCCAGTCCAGAACATTTATGGTGCCTGGACCGAGCGGCATGATGGCGGCTGAAAATTGGTCGGCAAACGACCTGGCTCGACAAAATATCCACGAGGTTAAATATTGCAGGAGCAAAACATTTATAATATCCAGCGTGCGCTCAGTAGCATTCGTTCGCCAGTGATACGGCACGGTGGAGACTTCGACCGAGTTTCAAACCATCAATATTTGCGGCTTAATAAATCAAGATAAGCACGGTAAAAAAATTGAGCAATTCAATTAGCCATGAATAATAAACAATAGGTGCTAAAAATAAGCACCGTAAAATAGAACGCAAAAGAACGAAAAGAACGAAAAAAAAAGAATTTCATATTTGTGGCTCCAGGGTAGAAGCGATCGATCAAATACTCACGGGAGTGTGCCAGTGAGAGCGCCCAGAGTCGGAGGTAGGAAGCCGTGTGTGAGATGGATCCGAGCACATACTCCACGGTGTGGATGGCCTGGTGGATGCAGACCTCGCTGAACTCCTCCTCCTCCTCGTGGGCGGCGGCCGGTGCGTCCGAGGTGCGCGGCTCGGCGGCCGTGTGCGGCAGCGGCGCCGCGCGCGCCGCTGCCTTCCGCTGTCGGTAGATGATGATGGGCTTCACCAACAGCATCCAGGGAATGCAGATGACGCCCAGCGCCAGCAGGCCGTACTGCAGCTCCCGCTGGCCGTCGAACAAGTAGCCTTGGCATCCACTTTTCGCATCATCTTCATCCACCTCGGCGTCACTGTCCTTCAGGAGAAACATGTTGATGAAGATGAGCAGCAGCGAGGGCGCGCAGTGGGCGCTGTAGCGGCCGTCGTAGGAGGCGCTGTACATGGACCACTTGAGCAGGCACAGCACACACAGCCAGCCGAACAGACACAGCAGGAACAGCATTTGCGGCAGGAACATGGTGAAGATGTCGGAGATCTGGCGGAAGTTGCTGTCGAACAGAGCGGGGGCGAGGAGGGTGACGGTCACTGCCCGGCGCACCGACCGGCCCGCGGCGGCCGGCAGTGTTGTCACGGCTCACAGCATCACCAAGTTGGCAGCAGGCAGCCGCCTGCTGCAAAATCCGGGCGGCAGCCCTGCCTGGCTCTAGCAGCTTAGGGAAGTCGGGCAAGCAGCTATTTAATACGTAGGCGGTAGGACGAAGAATATTCGGTTTAATTGTTACCCACTTCCTCGTGGAGTTTTGTGGAAAACAAATGAACTCCAAATTCCAGCCCCTTAAATAACTGTTCCCCTATATTTTGATAATCAGCCGCCAAATGAACGAGCCCTGGGTGCTAGCCTTCCCCAGCCCATCCCTCCCTGTCCCCTCCCCGGTAACTCACACATAGTTGAACACGGAGAGGGCCACGCCGAACACCATCTGCGCGACGCCCAGCAGCACCGACAGCTTCATCTTGAAGGCGTTCTGGTAGGTGACCTTGTTCTCGGTGATCTGCCAGACGGGATCGAAGCCGAACGGGTACGGGTCGCCGCGGTAGCACGAGGCGTTCTCCGGCGGCAGCATCAGCGTCTCGAGCTCAGTGCTGTTGATCTCCAGCTCGGTGAAGCCGATGCGCCACGACGAGCCGAAGATGTTGAGCGACTTGGAGAAGATGTCGTTGTAGATGATGCCCGTGTACATGGAGAAGATGCCCATCAGCAGGATGATGTACCGGCCGCCGAAGAAGATGGCAGCGATCTGACGGACGGGTCGAGGTCAGAGTACGATTAACCAAGACTGTCTCAATGAGCACGTCATCCGCAGCAGCCGATCTTTGTGACCGTACGGCGCAGCCATCCAGATCCAGCCGTATACACAAGTATGAATCTGAACGGTCCCGTACCTACATCATGCCGCACGTCCAGACATATTTACGTCACATGAGCCAGCAATACTTGTCAAAGCTCTCCTGAGTCCAATAACACTTAATACTGTACCTCCCTTAATATACTATATAATACCTTAATATACTAATATAATACCTCCCTCCCCACACCACCAACAGAACCATGGCCTCTCATCACCACCAGCAGTCCGTTGCCTACCTCGTTGTCGATGCGTTTGGCGCCCAGTTTGCGCTCGTTGAGCACCATCCAGAGGGCGAACAGCGCCATGATGCAGCCGTGCCCGAGGTCGCCGAACATGACCCCGAACAGGAACGGGAACGTGATCACCGTGTACGGCGCTGGAGGGCACACAGAGAGCCGCGGCGGGCGTTAGTTGGATTATGCTGGCGATAATCTTCCTAATTTTCGACGATTATTTTCCATCGGCCCATCAGCCCAAGTACATGGTACGTTCATGGTCCAAACGGCCATCCCACCACCGCTAACGGTGGCCTACCAGCCTCCCATAGGTGTCCCACCATTCCCACCTACAACCTACAGGCGTGTCCCACCGCCCCAGCACCAACGGCATCCCACCGTCTCCCGCCAGCCATAGACATACCATCGTCTCCCATCACGACAAGCCACCGTCTACCAGCATCCCTGACCGCCACCCACCGGGGTTCATCCCAGCTCCCCCCCCCCCACCTGACCCCGTCACCCACAGGGGTTCATCCCTCCCCCCCCCCCACCTGACCCCGTCACCCACCGGCGTTTATCCCTCCCCCCCCCCCACCTGACCCCGTCACCCACCGGGGTTCATCCCCCCCCCCACCTGACCCCGTCACCCACCGGGGTTCATCTCGCGGTAGTTGGCCACGCCGTACGCGTCCACCAGCGTCTGGAAGCCGTTGGTAAACTTGTTGGTGCGGTTGAAGGTGGGCGGCGCCTCGCTCGTGGGGATCCGGTTCATCACCGGGCTGAGGCTGGAGCCAGCCCGCTCCGAGCCGCGCCGCAGCGCCAGCTGGACGGCACTGACGTCATCCACCGCGATCCAGCACTCAGCGATCAGACACTTTTGCGTCACGTCCAGGTTGAAGAGGTTCAGCGTGTGGTAGATGGCCTTGATCTTGCGCACCTTGATGAACCAGATGCGGATGTTCTTGGCGGCGGCCACCAGCACGCGCTGCCGGTGGTCCTGCGTCTGCGCCAGCACCTGCGGAATGGGAGAGCTGGTCACTGCACACGCGCTGGCAATGGGAGAGGAGGTTAGGACACGCGCTGTCGGTGGTCCTGGCTTTGCGCCAGAGCCTGAGGAGGGCCGCGGGAGAGGGTTGGAGGACACACAGCGCACTGTCGCTACTGGACAATAATAACGCAAAAGCCACAGACTTAGCACTGACTGTCTCTTTGTCACATCAGTTTTTTTATTCGTGAATAAAAGTAAACTAGAATTTAGAAACCAGAAAGCAATAATCATCATTAACGAATGCCGTTCTCAGAAAAACCACACGTCAATTTCCTAAAAAAAAAACTATTTCTACAATTTGAATCCTTTTTCAAGTGTTTGATGGGTAGTCAAACATTTCGAATACAATTTTATCAACATTAACCAATAATTAAACGTAGTCACCAACTTCAGACCGCTAGCCAACCCTATCCCCTTGTCTTCCAATACGAATTCAAATGCCCCCCCCCCCCCAACACACACACACACTGAACTAACCGTGTTGAGGTCCTCGATGCGGGTCAGCACGCCCGTCTTCATCTCGCGGCGCTCCGTCGGTGTCTCCGGGCACGGGTAGACGGTGGCGCGGAAACCCTCCGAGATCTTCTTCACACGAGACTTGAGCTGGTCACCTTGGAAGAAGGCGATGTAGACGTTCTTGTTTACCATCTCACCCTGTCGACCGCCGGGCGGGGTCAGGTCAGGTGAGGCCGGGATAGGTCGGGTCAGGTCACGGCGTCGGATGAACGCTGAGAGAAAGGTCATGTGGACTCGTTGGTGGTTCATGCCCAAGCTACCATCCCCTCACGATGGTGCGGGACTGACGAGACAGCTCTTTCTCGCAACCCCTCCCTCCCCCTGGGAAAACCCCAGTAAAGCCATATCATTTTCTCCAAATCTCCGAACAGAATAGCCACCCTAGCAGCGATATAAAAATATACCTTTCGATATTTCACTACAACAATAATGAATTGCAGGTGATTTGCGATCGACTTATGATATGACATCAGTTGCTAGTTAACCCAAAACAGACCACGTCTATCTCAGGTCATCTAGGTCACCTTAACACCGCACCCACATCACAACTCGTTTCCGCCCAACTGCACGCTGAAAAGGACGGTTCAAGGACAGTGGTTTCTCTGTCCACCCAGCTGCAGTGCTGCGGCTCTGTTGATCTCGGACACACACCAGCCAGGCCTGACACAACAAAAAGGGCCCGGCGGTCTGTTTATCGTTGAGTGTCTATTGCTGAGCGGCTGGCTCAACAAGGTCACCGCTGATAGAGCAGGCAGCACGGCACGGTGTAACGGAAGGCTTACGCGACTCGCCGCAAGTGGTAACACCAGAAATATCATCTGTGGAATTCCTGGCGTATACACATCAGCATACCCTATATCCTGAACGAACCCTAGAAGCACCCTAGCTGTTCAAAATATCTTATTTTTAATACACACAATCTTCAGCATCACAACTGACGTAAATTTAGTAAAGCTATTTTTTCAGCGATACAAAATTTAGCAATGCTCATCAGATTTCAAGTAAAACCATCGCATCAGCCCGTAGCTAACGATAACGTCACGTGCCGTTGTAATAACGTCATGATGTCGTCACTCACCGACACGGGGTCCTCGAGCGGCTCCTCGATCTCGGCCTGACGCAGGAAGACGTTTCCGCGGCAGGCGCGCCACAGCATCAGCTCGAAGGCGTGCACTCGCTCCCGCTTAATCACACCGGCGACGAAGCTGTAGAGAAATAATGCGTTAGGAAACGTGTAAGCTCATGTGTGGTTAGCATACAGATGAGAAGGACGAAGCAAATGAAATTGGGAATCAAGAGTGAAGGGTCAGAGGGGGCGCTGGGATACGAGAGTCGAAGACAAGGAAGTTAAGTACCTACAAAAAAAGACCGTAATAGATTCGTGGAAAAAACACAGTAACTTTACATGTGTTTGAAAAATGAGCAAGTAAATAAAAAAAACTTAGAATAACATCAGAGCTGCAAGGGATTGGTCAGTAAAGACTAAAGAGCCATTTCTCGTCCCTCGAAGATTCGTGGGGTAGCCCAGCGGTGACATCGGACCCGACAGGAACAGCTGACCACAAGCCACCCTTCACCGAGCGGTCAGAAAAACAGCGTGTCCAGTTACAGAGTGCACTGCGAGGTCTTTGGTGGAGGGTTGGAGACAGGGCGTGAGGTGGGATACTGGATAGTTTGTTCGGACTCAGGTGGCTATAATTGCCAGGTCTATAGTCAAACGGCCACAAGAAAGGCGAGCGGTACGTGAATGTAACTAAAAGTGGCGCGTTGACGATAGCGGTAAATTACCCAAATAAAAAATAGAGAGAAATACGATAAATCATGCGTAACCAGTATCGCAACTTTATTCTCAAGTCGGCCCTAAAAAAACAGCCGAAGCTGCCATAGCTACAAATACAAAATCATCATAGCATCTGGATCGACCCGTAACCATTAATCATTGAAATCATGAACAGCACCAATCCAGCTAGCTACTGCGGTGTCTTACTTGAGCTGGCCGGAGGCGCCCTGTCTGCCGACCTCATCGTTAGCCACCAGCGATTGCTGGATGCCCTCCTGCACGTGCTGGGTCTCCTTCTGTGGAGAGAGGGTCGGTGACGGTCAGAGGAGGGCTGGATACGAGCGAGAGTGAGCTTAGTTATGCGGATGCGAAATAGTAGGAAGAAATGGAAATTCAAAGGAGGGAAAGCACAGCGGAAAAATATATCGCTGTGAAAAGCGGTATTGTGCGATATCATCTGAGAAAATGAAAAGTGGGCACTGAGCGACAAAAGATACGACACGTCCCTTACAAGCTGACCGCGTGGACCCCGAATTCACGGACACAACTTTGGCCAGTCAGACAGTTGAGCCTCCATCCCGTAGACCGGGTGTTGTGACGGATCAGCCAATCGACACGTGTCAATCTGTATGTTTCAGCCAGGGCTCTAGCCTCTAGCAGTTGTTGATCAAAATGCTTCATAGGTATTTCCGTGTAAAAATGTTTCGCTGAAACGATCAATTAATGGTTGTCATTGCCGATGAATTCTGGTCATGTCTTTGATCTGGCAATATTTCGCCGACATAGCCTGGCGGCTCCTTTTTATTGAAACATCGTTGATACTCGCTGGGCACCACAGCTAAGAAAACTCGCAACGCACGGTGGAAAAGTACACAGACGTTATCAGCGTGATAACGCCAGTGTTCGTCTCGTGCTTTGACGTATCTGAGCACTTAAGACATCGAGACGCTAAGACGACAGGGCTTTCCGCTCTCTGCCGACCGACCACTCGACCTCAGATCAGCGCCAGCGAGATAACGGTCCCGATAGCGGCGACCGACCGAGGTCACCAGCGCTGAGATCCCGAGTATCCGCTGGGCAGAAATAATGATGATGCATGTTCTTTTACTTGAAAGAATCTACAGCGAGACGAGAGTTACATGAGAGCGGCAATAAGAATTCGAGTATATCGTAAATGCGGTTAAAAGGGAAAAGAAATCGAAAACGAAATCATCGCTTTAACTTAACTTTTACTATTACACCTCACATTCCGCTTGTCTACCAGAACATAAAAAGTGCAGAAAATACTTTGGCCGTGTCGTTAACATCAGTTGTGTAGTTAACAACAAACAATGCCAGCATTAGCAATGCTTTATAACAGGCTCGCTATCTCACTTCTACGGGGCTATAATTCGATCGAGCCCTCATTGACGTCTAGATCAATGTTCGATCATATTTTGCAAGTGCATACATGGTTGTGGTGTTTGTTAATGGTGCCTTACCTCATCGAAAAAGTGCTGAGCCTTGAGCAGGATATGTTTGAGCTCTGTAAGCTCCAGGTAGTTCTTCTTCAGAGTTTCTGAATTGCCATTGACTTCCTTCAGTTCATTTTCCAGCTTCTCAAAGGAAGCCTGAAAGCCAAAAAATAAACAGATTGATCATTTGGATAATAAAGTAAATGCTGAAATCAGTAGTCAAAACGGAAAAAATATGCGGACGTCAGACAAACCACAGCTAAAAACGCATCACCATTCATTGTGGCAGGGCTAGCTGCATTGTGAAGTTCTAGTTAACACCACATGATATGCCACATGCCAAGCTGATCATATTCCTATCCTCATGCATGTCGATACCTACCTATTTTTCTAGCTGCACAGACACTGTCGTAATCAAAGGTCAGAATCGTGTGCAACCCACCTCCAGGTCAATCATCTCCCTGGGCTGAGGAGCCTCGGGGCTCTCGCCGGTGTCCAGCATGGGAATTTCGTCCTTGTTGATCTCACGCTCAAAGTACTTGAGCTTGCGTTCCATTTCATCGCACCGACGAACTTCGTTCACAAACTTGCGTTGGAACGCGTTCACGTTCGGGTTGAGCTGTATAGTGGAAGGAAAGACAAGTTATGAGACTCAGAAATGTAAATGAACATTGCTTATAGAATACCTAGTTAAAAGGCAGATGCAGAAGAGTTGAAGCACAATAAAGCTTTTCTCCAGAATGTTTTACAAGGTGTTTATATTTTAGAATATGGGCTGCATACCTACATCACTCTGTGCTGTCTTTGATAAATGTCATTTACTGGCTATGATGGCATTAATCACACACAACACCCTCTGACTTCTCCATCATCTCACTTAGAACTGTTGAGCAATACTCACATCTCTGAACTGGACAGCCCCCAGCTCTCCGAGCTCTGAGACACAGTTGTAGACTGCCTCTGTCTGCAGGAAGAGCTGGTAGAGCTCCATGTGCTCACTCTTGAACAGGCCCCAGTCCATGGCTGGCAACTGACAAAAGACACAGAGTTGGCTGGGTGTTAGGCATGGAATATACAGCTACCTACAGTCATACAAAATGGCTCTGTAAAAATAATGATGTATTTTATTAGAAGCAATGACTTACAGCATAAGAAAACTCCTGTATCTCATAAACTCAACAGGATAGGAGTGGTGCAGATTTAAAATAATCAATAGTTCAAGCTTATTGAATGATTGCCAACAAAGGTTTAAAATGTAGGTATAAAATGAATTGACTTTTGCAAGGCAGTTTTAAACCAAAAGTCTTCCATGCTTTATTTCTGAAAAAAAAAACATTTTCTGATACTTTAATCACATTTCTCTCAGTAAATCCCATTTTGATTTACCAGTGATTTAAAAATTAGCCAGGGACCTGAAGCCATTATTATAAAACAAAATTTGAGCCAGCTGCAATTTTTTTCCTATCTCTGAGCCAATTTGTAGCCAAAAAAGGAGCTGGACTTTAATTTCTGATTTAATATGTGATTGAAAACTAGCGTGATTTCAAGGCTCAGCGACCTATAAGATATGAACCGCCTGTGCTCAATTTTCACTTGCAGTTGATGGCTCAATTTTAGCTTGAAATTATGGCTTCAGCTCATGAATCATAACTAATTGACCAGGTGAAAGAGTCCCGTTCCAAGTGATAATGATGCACCATAAGGCATAAGCAGACGTAGGCGGCGGAACGGGGAGAGCACCGGTGCACCGTGCCCCCCTTTGATATTGGCATTCAGTAGCGGCGGAACACCTTCAATTAAGGGGGCACTGCCAACTTTTGGTCCCATTCTTTCCATGCAACGCCCATAGGGCTAATGTAATGTTAAAATACCAAAATCAAAGGGGGCCACGCCACGGTGCCCCGGTGCCCTCCCTGTTCCGCCGCCTATGTTGGCATTTTAACATCAGCCCTATGGGCATTACATGGAAAGAATGGGACCAAACGTTGGCAGTGCCCCCCAAGGTGTTCCAACGCTACTGTAAGCAGACAAATAATAATGTGAAGCAGACAGACCAGAGATGGTAGGTATGTTTGAATCAAATTATCAATTGATAAGTGTTTGAATGGACAACATATATTCAATTTTGATAATTTTCAGTTAATTTTAGACAATTGCAAGCATATGATGGACCAGGACCAACTAATTTGAATAAATTAAAAATACATGTTTTCAGGCAAATATTCAATTCTGATTCAATGAATTGTCTGAACCATGCATAAAGCAATCCATAAATTACCTTTTAGACCGTTTGTCTTGAAAAATTACACCATGCAAAAACTATTCCCTAGTACTCCTATTCGAAGGTGGGCAAGATCACACCAAAAGAGCCGACGGGCCCGCAACCACAACAGACACAGAGCGAGTTCTCATCCACTTTGCTTCAAGATGTTTGTTATCTTTTTTATCGGTGTCATATGACTGTGGATTATAGATGTCGCCCCAGGCGCTTCGTGTTCTCATGTGACCCTCGAGCTATTAACGCTAGCTGTCAAGCAGGTGCTGCCACCTGTCAATCGTTTGAGAAAATGCGACTGTGAGAGCCAGGCACAGGAGCGTTGCTTGAGCTCTTCATCTCGAGTTGGTGGAAAATGAAATCGGCCCTTTCCCATTTCCCTACCGAAGAAGGCGAGTGTGAACCCAAGGCAAATGCTCTAGCCGTTTTTACATTAAATTAAATTTGACAAAAGGGCATTTTGAGAATTTGACCTAAGGTGAAGGTCATCACCTAACCGAGGTCACTCATATTGTAACCTAAATCATGCATGAGCATCACATTACATTTTAGACTGACGCCCCTGTCACTAGCTGACAATGGCGCCCCCTCTCAAGGGGAAAAGTCGCCTCCTCGAGCACCACTACCCTATCGCTGATCTCTGGCTACGCCACTGCCCCCTCCCCTGTGGTTTTTCCTGAATATCAAGAAAACGGCGGGTCGCAGCGCCGCCAAATTTTCAGTACCTTCCCGGGCATCAATTTGACACCTTCACACAAAATCTCAAGTCTTATGTTATCTTAGGTCAGGAGTTATTGAGGTCAAACTGAGGTCATTTTCGAGCAAAGATAAGCAACAAAAAAACATGAAATCTTTAAACGCTCACAAAATCTACAGTTACCAAGCAAATTCAAAGTTCTTTATATGATCATGTAGACAAAAGGCGGCGCTACAAAACTGCTATCTCGGATTTTCGAAATTTTGGGTTTTTGACCCCCAAAAAATTAAAAAAATTGATTTATTTAAACGATTTTTTTTTTCTGAATTTCGAAAAACGGAATATTTGTGATAGTCCCTGCGCTGTTCTACATACCAAATTTAAGATCGAGCGTCGAGATCTCCTTTCTTGGCCAAGTTATAGCGATAAAACTTTCAAAATTAATGACGTCAAATGTTTGAACTCAATTTTTAGCAATTCTAGACCACGTAGCGCAAAACAAAGACTGCCATTGAACTTCCTGTGACGAGCTGCATCGAATCGATACCCATCTTATGCAAAAATATCAACTTTGAAATTTGACCTAATTTGGACTGACCTTGACCTGACCTTGACCTGACCTTCACCAGAACATAATCTTAACTGACCCCAAAGGCTGCCTGACCCACATAATCGTATTTAGCATATAAAATGGACCATAAAACATGCATCACATGATAGGTATTTTCATATTGTGACCCTCAGTGACCTGACCTCTGTGACCTGACCTGGTATCAGTGACCTCAAATAGCAAAATATGTGTTTGAAGAACATTTCCCCGGCGATGATTTTCAATGAAATGCATTTTATTCGATTTTACAACGCATTTCTTGAAATGCCTGTAAACGGTGAAAATTCTTTGAGCTGACCTGTGACGTCATCGGTTTGACCTAGGTCAATGAAATTTAGTCACAAGGTAGTCCCCTGATGGGGCTATCCAACACCGTTTGCCGCTTGTCACTATGTTGCGTGGTTCTCGAGATCTTAGGGGGGGGGCGCAAATTGCCCCCCCCCCCCAGCAGTTGCTCGGCAGACCCCAACGGGGCGCGGGTTAAGGGGCGGCATTTCTTATTTTGAAGGGCAACAGCATCACTATGAAGGACAGCACTTAGCTTGCATGTGCGTGCTGCATCTTAGTCTAGAGGGGGCGGCGACAGGGTCGGCAAATGGCCGTCACTGGGTCGGCATTCTCCGTGACTGGGTCGGCAATTGCCGACCCAGTTAACATGTTAAAATACGCCCTGTGTCTCGCTCAATACCTTAACTGAACAATATAGCAAAAAACACTGTTTTCCATGTTTTTGTCACCTCTTTACCCGACGGCAATAATGCATCACAATTAAGCCACTTTTGGAATGTAATAGGCATACATTTCTACATGTGAAAATGGTACGAGCGTTTTACAAACCAGGTGACGGCGGGGCGTTTTGTGAATTTTACAATGTCTGCTTGTAGCGGCATATCTGATAAATCAACAAACGTGGCACAGTCATTTAGCACTGCTTTTGGTAGACCATAAACTAGTCGTGCTTACCGAATGCATCTCAGGCCAAAGTGACAACTGAACAGTCAAATATTGTCGTTTTTATGACAGATATTTATTTAACCCTCGCACGACCAGGCCATTTCTGATAACACGAACGACCAGGGGGGGGGTTGTTACGACCCCCCCCCCTGGCGTTTCGAAACGGAAGGTCGTAGAGCTTAGCGGAAAAAACCAACAGATTGCTCTCAACGAGATCTCGCGATTGGTGGTATATTTTTTGGTCCTAGGTCAACATTTGACCTACTTATGACCGGTCAAAGGTCAAATTTTCCGAAAAAAAATCAAACTTTTTCAACTTTCCGCGGCGATTGCGGCAAAACGGTGGGAGATATCGACTTGAAACCTTCACTATCGTGTTCCTTGATCAATTCTCTATCGTTTGATATGTACTTCGTTTCCCTAGCTCTAAAAATGGCGCGTTGGGAGCGCCGGAAGTCGGCAAGGTCACAGTCGGCGGCAGAAATTCGAAAAATCAAAATTTAAATTTTTGAAATCTGATTGTATTTTTGGATTTGGGAGGTCCATTTGCTCCCTATAGAAGCTAATATTGCTGCATATTCCCATTGAGGTGACAAGAATTAGCAAAATAGTGGTTCGGGCGCTTTTCAAAAATAGTACCGGACGCTGTTCCTCTTGTGACGTCATAGCTCCGTGACCTGACCTGACCCGGTCAATTTTCTTGCACCACACGATAGCCAATGCTTGCCCCAACATGCATGGGAAGTTTCATCATGATCCATCAAACAATGTGGGTATCACCGGCAGAAAACCTAGGGATTCGGCGCACACGTTTGGTAACTGTCGACCGGAGGCTGTACCTCTTATGACGTCATAACTCCGTGACCTGACATGACCCGATCAATTTTTTTTCGGCAAAAGATGCGCAAAGGTTGCCCCAGAGGGTATTGAAAATTTCAGCCCGCTACGACAAGCCGTTTAGCGTGCACTTCGAAAAAACCTCAGGGGGGGGTTGATACAACCCCCCCCCCCTAGGCGTTCTAGGGTTAAGAAATATCATAAAATCAAGTTTTTTGCTATAAAATCAGCTTATGATAATGGCGCCCAGCAAACTTAATCAGCATTTTGCTTCCACAGTACATGTTTCACCTGTAATATTTATAAAAGCAAGGACACAAGTACAACTGTGTCGTAAATAAGGGCATGGGGCATTCTACCTACCCTGGGCGTCTTACACGGTTCTCCCATACCAACTCTGATGGAACACTGCAGGGGTGCCGAGCCCAGCGCGGGCCTCGAATACAGTACGGGATAACCTCAAAAAAGGATTTTCGCTTTATTTTCGCCTTAGGTGCATTACCTGATCAGCTTCCACAAACATAAACGCGCTGGCTAAATGCTCCTGTTCCAGTGATTAACCCATTACTACTGCATTGGTGTGTGTGTGTGGGGGGGGGGGGGCGAATAGGCCCCTACCCAGGCATCGGTAGGATTGTGATTGCAGGATTGCAAAATCCTGATTGCATTCCCTTTTGGTGGATTGCACCTGGATTTGAAATCCATTCCAAAAAACAGGATTTGATTGCGGATTGGATTGCATCATACTTCTACCTTTTGCAATCCAATCCGGATTGTGTTTGATTAGTGCTCTAAAATGGTTTGTTGCGATTGAAAATTATGAAATCGGCTTCATCGGCTTAACGTACTTTGCCATCAATGGCTTTACATCGAAACTTGAAATAATTTAAACGCTTTTAATTTAAACGCTTAAAATAATATACGCTGATGAACTACATAGAAAGGGCAAAATTACGTATTTTAGGGCGAGTTTTAAAAATATAAAACACTGGTTGGGTAGAGCTTTAAATGTTGGGGTGTTTGAGGCAAAAAATATTTCCCATAAAATACTTGTGCCTTAGATAGAAATTACTTGCAAGACTAGGTACTAGAAATGGATGATTTGGGGATGGAGGCACGGCCCTATGCCCCCCTCCCTCCCCCAAATCCACTAGTGCACATAATAATACAACAGGATTGCAAAAAAGGATTGCGGATTTGATCACAATCCAAGTGAAAAAAGGGGATTGCGGGTAGGAATGCAATCCACTTCGGCACTAGGAATGTGGATTGGGAATGCAATCCTTTTAAAAAGGATTTTACCGATGCCTGCCCCTACCTGTAGATTTGTTTGCTCTCGACGGAAAACGCCTTAAGTTAGGGGCTCGAAATTTGGTTAGTTTTCCTTGCCATTCATTGGGTACGTTGTGTCAAATTTTTGAGTTTCTAGCTTGTGCAGAGGCGTCTCCAGGACGAGTTTCTCGGGGGTAGTTTTAGCTCAGCTTTGACTGTTTCGACATTTGCCGCTAAGCAGCGACTTACTTCGGTTTGTACTGGTGATCAGTGGCACCACCCGTCATATGTATGCACCTAAAGACTATATGACGTCATTTTACAATCAAAATATTGGAATAGGCGGATCCAGGTACCTGAGGAAGGGGGAAGCAATATCAATGTACTGCCCCCCGTCTTAGCGCGCCTGAATCCGCCTATGCTTAACGAAAACGAGTATTTTGTGCTCACGTTGCATATTTTACATGATATATGACACATTATGTCATAAGACACATGATATAGGTACCATGACAAAAACTCAAAAATCATCCCAAGCTAGCTTACCTGAACCCGCCTATGATTTTTTAGAAATATCCAAAATACCGGAATATATTTATATGAAGGTCCAGTCCATGAAGAAGGGAACCCTGAGGCCTGAATGTGAACAACTTTTTCGACGAAAAATCGCCGAACGTGACCTAAGTTTGACCTCTTTAGCTCGTGAGCTGAGATGGATGACCTGGGATGGGACCTATTTTGTTCAGGAGTTGTGTAAAATTGATGTCCGGAGAGGTACTGAAAGTTTCAAGTCGAAATTTGCAGCTGTTTCTGAGTTAATCTGCGAAAAACCAGAGGGACCCTCCCCCCCTTCCCCCCCAATGGATCGCGGGTAAGATTCCACGGACGGCGCAGCCATAGATAGAGTCTGCGCGTGCATCCAGCATCCAGTTCTGTATTAAAAAGGACACACTAAAAAACAAATGCTGTCATATCCTTTTTTCATTCAAAACAAGCACATGAATAGAGCGAATAATGCAGCAGTGAGCAGCATTTTGACTCAGCATTCCAAAGTCACCACCTCAATATCAATGTGTTCCTCTAGTTCGGTTCACTGGAAACGCCAGCACTCAAAAGATCGTATGAGTATCGGAACTTCCACTTGAAACACCAGAAATCCACCCGCGGTTTCATTCCAGCCTGCCC